TTTCTCTTGCTTTGTGTGATACATGGAGTGTGGCGACTTGAACTGCCGCATATATGTGCAAAGTTCTATGTCGGAAACTGACCGACCGACCGAATAGGGTTCCATCTGATTATCTGCCTGATGCGTAATGTCACTGAACAGTTTCCTCAGTGTGCGTCTAGTCTGTTCCTGTTTCCGTTGCTATATTCATTTATCGATTCGTTGTCATAGTTTCTTGCTATTTATCCACTCTGGTTATCTGATATTTATCATGGAACGATTGAGGCGATTTCGTATGAATTGTGATCAATAATTGGGTGCCGAGTGAGAAGTGAATATATATATATATATATATGTAAACCAATCCCATTTTTCATATCTCAGAGAAATTGAGAAAAAGTAAGTAATTCCAACGTTTCGTAGAGGCAAACTGGTTTGAACCTCTTCAAGGAATTCGATCAAAAGTTAAAATAACAATGCCACTTCTGTTAGAGGACACATCTTGTCGTTATAAATCTTGTCCAACAATGTGAGACATGAGCAGACACGAAAACAAGAAAATAAACAAAACTTCACGAACAGTGATCAAAATTTGAATAGGGACTTATAATTATTAAACTATTTTATTGTAAAGTGTGTGCTTTTGCACCAGATTTCTAGTGGTTACTTTCAACTACAGTTCATGATCATGAATAACTGAATATGAAAAATATATACAGGAATATGATTAGACAAGGTTTTTTAAACACAAGATGTGTCTTCCTATATAGATATATATTTCACAGACTTCGAAATACATCTAACTGGCAAGTGATCAGGTCTGATAGGTTTCTTCGGAACTTTCAAAGGATGCATCGGTGGCATAGCGGTTAGGACTCTCGTTGACCATGTACATAGTTTGGGGTCCGATACCATGCCAAAGCACACGTGATATCAATGTTCAGCCTGCAAAATTTAGGCTACCGGAAACATACTTTTATCGAAAATAAGGTGTGGAATCAACATATAATCAAAGATAAAAAAAATATTTCCTTCTTATTGTGTGTGTAAAAGAATCATACAATTTCTACACTTCTTTATTCCTACTGGCATTATCCTGTTTGCGTTCTGATGATGGCATCTAGCAAATATACGTTAGTAGTTTAGAGTTACTACATTCACCAATCACTCAGGTCATCGATATAGTGGAAAGGTTGTGTTCGAGGACAGCAACTTCACCCTGATAGAAACACCACTCCTACTGAAACTTCAGAGATCAAGCTGGAAGCCCTGTGTTCCAATCAGAAGGCAAAGGAATGAATGAGACATGAAGCCCAACCAGAGGAATACGAGATAAGCTAAATGTTTTGATTTTTCAATTATAAAATGGACCTTTGAACAACTACCTTATCAGTAAGCTCTCATTTTATTGCCAATATATGGATGATACCTTCATTTGTTTGTGATAATGGTTCGGATAGGAGTACAATAATTACTGAATTCAATGAAGTACATTCGGCTGTGAAATTCACATACGAAGAGGAATGCCAGGACAGAATTTCCTTATTGGATGTCCTACTCACAAGAAAATCATATGGTAGCATAAAAAGAAATTTGCATAGAAAAAGTACTTGGACAGGACAATATACACATTTTCACAGTTTCGTTCCTATCAAGTATAAAAGAAATTTAGTGAGGACCCTCAGTCACAGAGTTAAAGCTATATTCTAAGAAGAAGTAATTGAAGATGAATTAAGCATTGTATATGATACTTTGATCGAAAATGGTTATCCTGACAAATTTATCAAGAAACACATGACACGAAAGCGGAAAAGGAGTACTCACTATCCGTAATGAAGAAGCCACTTTATATACGACTGCCATTCAAGGGCAGTTGAAAGAATCTTATTCTCTACACGACCGACGGTGATTCCTTGATTGAATGATGAAGTACCTAGACTAGCTGGCCACTTCCAATGGTATCTACCAATTCCACTGCGCTTGTGGAGCGAGTTATATCGGGCGTTGCTCTAGGAACTTGATTTTTCGCGCTCGAGAACATCTTCCAGTATGGCTAAGTAAGGGCGTAGTAAAAACCATCAACAGTTCGATATCAGACCATCTGGTTCAAACCGGCCACAAGGCCAGCCAGCATTGAAGAATCCTTCTCTATCATCTGCCGGGTGCCTAATAAATTGTCAAAATCATCGAAGCGCCGCATGCTCCAAACAGCAGAGGCTACCGCAATTCGCCTCAACACAACCAGAGCTCTGTGTTCAAATGAAGCAAGTTCAGCCACTACTACTGCCCTGGCCGGTCTTCAGTAAAGACTATAAACTCATGAATTTGTAATATTATCTTTCCTAATTTTTCTGACATTCAGCTTATTGTTATGTTGATGCTACTGAGCTGTAATCTATTGATATTATTGATTCAATGTTATATAAACATTAATGTTGTTCATGACACTAATTCATTTAATCACTATAGTCCATATATAACTGTAGAGCCTGATGATGAAGTTTTCGAAAAGAATACTCTTTGCTCAGTATCCATTCTTTTGAAAATTTTAATGGTCATTTTTAATCAATTATAAGATTCTGAATTTTTCTATTCACTCACACTTGGTGAACACCAGAGACTCCACTTTCTTTCATCGGCTGAACGGTATCATCACCGTTCATTTCCGTTTAGCTTGTGAGTTAACAAGCACCGGTAGATAGATGAAAGATAGATTTCTGAAATAAGATAATATAAGCTTTATTCTGAACAATATCTTTATCAAAAGACTGCTTATCGAACAAAGAATATTCACTTCGATAACTTCTACATCAGATTCTGCACTTATATATCCATAGTAATAAAAGTATTAGGATTGGTACTGGGTTAAGAAAATCCATTCAAATAATTTTTAATGCTGATAAACTAAAAGGCATATTTTCCACAAGAACGATTGTGATTCCTCGATTGAAAGATGAAGTATCCAGACAAACTAGCCACCTCTGATTATATCTGCCAATTCCACTGCACTGCTGGAGAGATTTGTATTGGCGGATGCTCTAGGAACTTGATTTTTCATGCTCGCTCGGAAAAAACTACTAGCGTGGTGTGGCTAAATAAAGGTGTAGTGAAAACTATCATCAACAGTTCAATATTGGATCACCTGGTTCAAACTGGCCACAAAGCCAGCCGGCATTGAGGAATCCTTCTCTGTCATCTACCGACTAACAAATAAATTGGCAAAAACATCCAGTTGTCGCATGCTCCAAACAGCAGAAACTATTGCGATTCGTCCTAAACAATGGGTTCTGTGTGTGTGTGCAGAAGAGGCAAGTTCAACCACTTCAACTGCCCTGGCCTTCAGTGGAGACTGTAAATTCATGAATTTGTAGTATTTATTTTCCCTAATTTGTCTGATATTCACTGTGTAATGTTACGTTGATGGATATTATGAATCTTACGGATGCTGCTGAACCATACTCTATTGATATTATTGATTCGGTATTATTTAAACAACATTCATGTTGGTAATAACCTTAATTATTTCATTATTATGGAACCTGATGAACAGCAGGTTATCGAAAAGAGTATTCTTTGTTCAGTCATCAGTGTTCCGAAATTTCTGATGGGCACTTTACATCAAAATTTACATAATGTACAGAATTTTAAGTGGTTTATTGCATCATATTTATTCTCTTCGTCGAGGATCTTCAAATACAAGATCAATCGTGTGACACAGTTTTATTTGACCTGAAGTGCAAACCAATCCCCTTTTTGATACCTTTTATCTGTTCTTCACCGAGGAATATATGACATTTTGTTGAATGTCAGCTGTAAAACGTCCAGCAGTACATTTTGCAAACGAAAGGCTTCAATCAGCAATAGTCATCTCATGTTTTGGGATAAGCGCTGCCATCGAGGATAGTGCTTTTTACACATGATTAGTAGAAACTTCTGATTCATTGGGTTGTAAATGTTTTAAATATTCGCCATAGTAAACAACACTACTAGAGTTCATATTTTAGTAGATTTAAACAAACTGTGTGTGGAGGTCAATAGCAATCAGCAGGAAAAATAAGATCCGGATTTTCATCTCCAATGTGAAATCAGTGCTACTTTATGAATCAGGGATTAGGCGCCACGTCATGAAGGGCACTTCGAATAAATTACAGACCTTCTGCAATAAGTAGTATTCTCTGAGCTAGCTGGTTTAGTTGCGAAGCTTTGATAATCCTTCTGGGCAACATCTTCAGCGCAATTTTCAGCATAAAGTGAACTGATTTAAATTTTCCAAGAGTGATAGAAGTGCGTCTCCGCAGCTAAACCAACCAGCTCAGAGAACACTACTAATTGGAAATCATTCAACTGAGCTACAATTCTCTCTTCTCTCTTCACCAACATCTGTCTTCGCCGAATACAACTCAACAACAGATGGCCGGCCAGAAGAGACAGCAACAGGTATCTCTAGGAGAAAACCAACCAGGAACCGATTGTGCGACAAATAAGCAGGAAGAAATGGAGGTGGATTGGCCGTACTCTGAGAAAACAAGCCTTCAAGTGGTATCACATGTCAGGCTATCGCTCGAGTGGAACCCGAATGGGAAGTGGCAAGTTGGTCGTCAGTGCGAGAATGACTTGGAGGAGGTCATGTGAAGAGGAGATAAAAGCATGTAGACAGATATAGAGCCAGGTGAAAACGTTGACAGAGAACCGAACGCAGTGGACACGAGTGGCTGAAGCCCTATGTTCCTCTAGGAACTAAAGGAAACAATAATAATAATATAATAAACAAACTAAATAAGGGAAGCTAGATGAAATGTGGGCATTGAAGGATCGGCCTTCTTTAATCGACTGGACAATATCAACACCACCCATTTCTATTTGCTTCCTTAGTTAACGAGTATCAGTAATAACGTAAAAGACAAATTTCTGGAATAAAATTACTTATTCAACATTGTGAAATCGGATAAATTTATAATCTGAGAATTTTTAATGAGGTTGGAAATAATTCTAAGCATAGTAGTAGTAGTAATAATAATAACAATAACAATAATAATAATCTTGTTTTGTTTAAATTGATTCTGTAGTTGGCGCTAAAGTTGGATAACGATTCTCTGTTACATAAGCTGTAGAAATATTATGTACAAAAGGATGACTGATCGGTGAATAGTGTATTGACGCACTAACTCCATCTTGTATTGATTCATTTGCGCTGAAGTGTTGATATCGAAGATCTGTGGATAGATTGTGAAAGAAAAAACACAGAACTGAATGCAATAAGTTATACACATATAAACAGATCATATATCTCTGAGTTTTGGTTATTTCTGTCAAAGAACCGTGATATATTGTTATCTAATATTATAACTTCAGAGCTTCAACAACCCATCTTCATTTCCCCCTGTTCTCTGAAGTCCTTAGTAGTTGGCTACACGATCGCCTGCAAGCTTTCATCTTTCACTAACTCTTTCGTGTGTATGTCACACTTGGAAATACTTACAACTCATCGTTTTCTTTATGGTCTCCACTCAATGACCTACTCAGCATTTGATGCCATTTCACTGTCTCTACATCATATTTCAAACCTATCTCTACCTTTCTCTTCTCATTTGCTCTGCGAATAATTCCTGCTTGATTCACTGTCTGTCAAAGTTCCTTGTTGTATGACTTATTGAAGGAAGGTACACTGGTAGACTGGTTTACTGAAGGCTTTCACAAGTCAGCGTCATTGACTCTCTCATTCTAGCTAAGAATACTTGCTATACGCTTTGAATCTGTGTCATCCATCCAAGCAGATAATCATGCGTGTGTAATGCACACTGAGCTGATTAGAAAGCTGCAGAAGATCCGAACTTTGCAGAAGATTAATGTCTAATATCAAACAAACTTGACGACTTACAGGAAAAAACTAACCCTCAAAGAAAGAAGCAGAGCAGATTAGACTCCAAGCTGACATAAAAAAAGTCGAAGGTGATAAGAAAAACCGATAAAAGCAACAAGCAAAGATCTACATCGGTAGAGGAAATTTGAAAGAGATTACTTTCTTTACTTGTCTAGTAAGCATGGGTGATAAATTAGTCAGGAAATATGTAAGGAAACGTAAAAATAAAATACATAATGATAGTAGGGATGGTGATAATAATAATTTTAATGACGACATGCATGTCAAATATACGCAAAACAACACCAACAATAGAGAATCTAAATCATCAGTAGTAATTCCATACAACGAAGGAAACTCGGAAACCGTACACCGGAGAATTCTTAACAAGGCAGGCAGGAATAAAAGTGGCTGGCATTCAAACCAACCCCAAACTCAATTAGAAACAAGCTTTGTCAGTTAAAGGATCAATCCCATATTAGTTTGTTTATTAGGTATATCACACAGTGAAACAGTATTATTTACTGGATGACGTTTCGAACAAAATTTATTGTTCATAATCATATCAATTGTGATCACACGACTTTGACACTTGAGTTTTATAGTTTCCTTTGTTCTCTCCTATTCGTCGTATGGGCCCATACGACGACCCATACGACGAATAGGAGAGAACAAAGGAAACTATAAAACTCAAGTGTCAAAGTCGTGTGATCACAATTGATATGATTATGAACAATAAATTTTGTTCGAAACGTCATCCAGTAAATAATACTGTTTCACTGTGTGATATACCTAATAAACAAACTAATATGGAATTACTTACTACCACAGTGCCCAAGTTTTACACATATATTAAAAGGATCAATCCATTGGAGCCTTAAAACAAAACAATTTAGTTCATCTAATACCCTGCCTGCAATGATTGTCATGTCAAATACATACATTAAAGTAGGAGAACAGGGCAATCAGACTAGCCGAGCATAAAAAACTAGCGAAATCTAGATTAGTTGACCCGAATAAGATAAGAAATCTAGAGAATAGTTCAGCTATACCACTCACTGCATGCAGTTACACACAGTCATAAAATAGGATGGGATAGGATGACAGTTTTAAAATATAATGTAACACCAGGGTGGAGGAAGTGGTTGATAACAGAAGCTCTGTTTATCGAATCAGCTGCAAAAACATGTAATAGGAATGATTCAACAGCTGTCCACGCAGACATCTGGAAAATCCTACTACCCCAACAAATAGGAGAAGACAAAGAAAACTGTAAAACTCAAGTTTCTAAGTCGTGTGATTATAATTTATATGATTATGAACAGTCATAAATTTTGTTCGAAACGTCATCCAGTAAATAATACTGTTTTACTGTGTGATACATCTTATTAACAAACTGATTCGGAATTACTGGAAATGTGTTTGGAGATCTTTAGCATTCTGCATACAAAAAGAAATTAGGGATTTCTAAATAAATTTTAAGTCTGTCATTTATTCCTAATGGGTCAGAAATATGGCGTGTGTGTGTGTCGCGTAAAGTATTTCCAACAGGATTAACAATTTATCGACACCTGCCACCTTTGCTGTCTCCGCACTGAAGATCGGATGGCTGGCCAGGGAGAATAAGCAAGAAGAAACTCCTGGAACGAACTAATCGAGAACCTATTGACAATCAACACTTGTTCCGAAAAAAATGTAAATGGAACGGACAGCCACTAGTCAGATTGTTGGCTAACATCGTGTTCTAGACATACCATGGAGTGTAACATGAGCTAGGAATAGGTCCCGAGATGACCTAGAATGGATCGTATGAGATGGATATGAATGTGCTGTACTCTCCCCACTTATTTTTTCATTCTTTCTACATGACTTACCATCTTCAAATGACATTAATTTTGTCAAATATGCTGACGACCTTACTGTATCTTTGACTGTCATAGGTCAAACTGATTGCTTTAAACTAAATGGCTTTCTATCAGAAATCAGTCAGTGGTACAAGGAAAACGGTCTTACCTTAAACCCCTCCAAATGCCAAACAGTCAATTTCACCCTTAGGCATAAATCCGACCTAAACAAACTGGTTGGCTCTCACGAGGTGTGCAACGTAGATGGCACTGAAATAGAAACCAAATCAGGAATTAAATATCTAGGCGTCATTCTATCTGCTGATCTCTCCTGGTCGTCTCATATCTTGGCGAAATCTAAGAAAATATTCCGTCTTACCTTCTACATTAAGAAGTTAAAACATTCTGGTATAACCCCCCAACCCTTACTCCTACAATTCGTTAACTCTCGCATTCTGCTTATTATTCTCTATTGTTCCCCCTTAGTTTTTTCCGGGGCTACTGAAGAAAGACTATAACATATTACACAGGATGTTAAAGTATGTTGTCAGCAGGGCAATCAACGTGACACTTAACCAGCTTGTTAATATTCTGGTTGACAGGCACATGAACTCATGTGAAAAACGGGTCAAATCCATTTTATCTAATTCACACCACCCTCTCCATTCAGAACTCTCCCTTGCATCTCATCAGGCAAAACCAGAGGCATATATAGAAAACCCAACCATACCCTACTTAGCTCGTGTTCTGTGTGATAAAGAAAGCATTACGCGTGACACCTATAATTCATTAAATAGTCAGTAGAACAACTGGACCTCGTCTTTCCAACTCATATCATTTATAAGTACGACATTTTCTTTCTTTTCCTTTTCCCTCTCTTTTTTTCTTTTTTTCTGTTATGTGCTACTCTGTTTCTTTCTTCCGTTTACGCCAGTAAATATGACAGCACCTACTTCTCTAACACTTTCAAAGACTGTTCAACTTTGACTTTGCTACTGACATGCCAATATGTTGTTGTCATAATGAACTGAGATTTCCTTAATCTATGTCGAATTCTATTTATTGATAATGTACTAACTGGATGCAATACTGTAGTAAAAATGCTGAGAATTCCATTCTGTATCACAAGTACTGTTTTGAAATTAAGCAAATTATTATATTATTATAACATAGGCAGCCGTGGGACTACCTAAAGAGGGCTTAGATAGAACGGAGAGAAATTGAGTTGTGCTGTTGAAGCCCTATGCTCCACTCGGAACCCAAGGGAATAATAAGTACGTATTGTCCGTCACTTCTACCTTTTCAAATACTGAAAATTGGTTAACCAATTACCATCGAAAATCCACTTAATATACAGTGAATCCCAAATTTAAAAAAAATGAACGAGATATTTCCACTGGTCATTATTCCCAACCATACATAAATAAGAATGTTCTGTCTATTCACTGTGAACAATAATGCTTTGTTAACTTTGTATAGCAGAGAAAAAATTTGGATATAACAATTTCATGCTTTACAACTAACCAACTAGCTGTTTTCATGCTTAATAATAAATTATCATTAAGAGCATTTGTCAATAGGAAAATGGAAAAAGGAAACGACAAAAGAATAGGGAATAAAAAAGAGAAAATTGATGAAAATGTTATCCAGAAAATGGGGTGATACCTTCAGCAGCTAATTCACTTGCTAATTATTCGTTTTTAAATCAGCTAAACATCGGATTACCGACGACTTGTTTAAAAAAAATACTGCTGAGATGTACACCCAATGTACAATTCACATTCAACGAGGTTATTTACAGAAAACAAGAAGCGATCGCAATGGGATCTCCAATGGGCCCATTATTAGCAGACTGCTTCATTGCAAGCCTCCAGAACGGCCCACTCAAATCAACTATTGACAATTTCCAACTGTATATTAGATATGTGAACGACATCTTTATTATCTGTGATGATGGCCACGATCTCAATATTCAACAAATGCCAATCAGCCACAAAGTTCATTCTTGTAATTGAAAACGAATCTAAAATCCCTTTTCCTGATGCTGAACTTACAAGGAGAGCTGACGAAACTTTAAGAAGGTCCATTCATAGGAAACCCACATGGAACGGCCAACTTTCAAGCTTCTACAGCTAGGTACCAATCAGTCGGAAAAGAAACTTATTTAGATCTCTTGCCACTCGCGTTTGACGCATCTGCAGCTCTGATAGCATGGAAGAAGAACTAAACTTCCTGGAAGAAACCTTCATACGAAAAGGTTATCCATCAAGATACGTAGACAAAAACATCAGACAAAAAATCCAAGAGTGAGAGACTCCATCCGTTCCAAAAAAGATACTTTATATGAACCTCGACTTCAAAGAGGACCTACTCCGTGACGTCTTCAGAAGGAGAATCTCCACCTCTTTAAGAAGAACTTCCTTTGCGGCAACATTGAGAGTAGTGTTCTCTAGTCGCCCGCTGATCTGCAGAAGCCCAAAAGACAAGATCCCGCACCTGATCACTTCTA